TTCCAAAATTTTTCATTTTACAAAAGTATTATTTGCAAAAAACAGCTGTTCATTGTTTATGTTAGTTATTGAGTGAAAAGTTGGCAATACTAACAAAGTTAGCTGAACTTAAATCAATAACTGAAAAACACGGTTAAAGTCCGTCTAGATTTGTTCCGAGTTTAATCTAACAGCAAGTTAAGCCTAGTTTAACTGAGTAGTAAGAAACCCGCCCTTAGAGCAGTTAACTTTGTTAATATTGCCAACTTTTCAGTCAAACACATAAACAATGAACAGCTGTTTTTTGCAAATATTACTTTTGTAAAATTAAAAAAAATAATTAGAATCAAAAAATTACTATTTACTTAAAAAATTAAGTTTTTGTTGCTTTTGTTGAATGTGTTTTCTCACTTATAACTTAGGTTTAATAGTCAACAATAATCAGTTAAACTAAGATAATAAGTAACGTTACCGATTACTGAAAAACACAAAATATAGATTAAACTAGGTTTAAACAAAGAACATAGATTATCTTTATTAGAAAAACCCGCCTAAGTGGTGGAACTAAATAATTTTTTTCGAGTTTAAAAACTGTTACTAGGCTAGCGACCAAGTTGTTTTAAAAACATTAACATGGTCCATGGGTGCATTACTGTTACATTACTCCAATAATTAATTATCATTTAAAATAATTTACCTTAAAATTATTGAAATTTTGTCTTGTCTTGCCTTGTCTTTGTTTTTTTTTTTTCTATTAATTTTTATATAATCATACATCTTTAAAATGTACAAAATGTTCTTGCCTCTAAAATATAAACGAAAACAAAAAAAAAATATAATATTTTAATGTACAAAAAAGAAGCAGTCACTAATTTTATTTATCCACCACATTCCATTTACATAATTTTTAATTAATTATTTATATTCCCTTTTATTAAATCAATTATCGTAGTGTAATTGATTGATATGATTTGTTTACAGTTTAATTAATAAGTTAATTGAATGAAAGTGCAAAAAGCTTCTATTATTTGTTCATTTTTATATGAAATGGGTGTGAACGTAGTAGTAGATGTTTTTTGCTTAATATTTATTTTGCCTTTTCTTCATTTTATGTTTTATTAATTAACTGCTTGATTTTTATTTGTTATAGTTTTTTTTTCATAAATTAGTAACTGCTCCTTTTTTCAGTTTCTTGATTTTGTTTTAATACACATTTAAAATTTACATAATTGTTTTAATCATAACACATCTGTTCTCTGTTACATTTTATTTGTTTATAATTTTAAAATATTTAACTTGTTTTATTAACTAATCTAACTTTTTTTATTTTTAATTTAATATTAAAATTGTTTGTATTTTTAAATATTTATAATTTTTTAGTTAGTTTTTAAGATTTTTCATCGGGTACAAATGTAATTGACTAGGAATTGAAATAAGAAGTTATTTCCTTTTTACCAATAATGAGCATATGGCTAAATAATGTAATGAAATCTTATGGTCCTTCGAACCTAAGTCAATTACAGTTTGCTACCTTTAATCATTAATACATTCCATTTTTTACACATAAAACTCTTTGTCATTTGTTTTATCTTTTTTTTATTATAAAATATAAAAATTAATGTTAATGTTTTTTTTGCACAAAGCACATTCATTTAAAACAAAACTTTTGTTAAATAAAAACTAAAATACTTGCATTTATTTTGGGTGTTTTTTAATCATTGAAATTTTCACTTTATCACAATTTGGCCATTGTTCGTTAGTTTTTTATTACACACATCTTTCATGTATTCTTTTTGGTCACTATTTACACACCCTGTTTTGTTTTTTTGGTTACATTTTTCATATTGGTGTTTACATTTTTGGGGGAAAAATCATGCACTTTTTGGATCCTATTCATAATAGTTTATAAAAGGGTTAAACAAATAAATTTTCATAAGAAATTTTGTTCTATAAACCTTTGCTTAATGCATATGAATAAGATCCTTTGTATATAATACACTATCATATGTATGTATTTCTGTAGAAAGAAGATTTTCTTTGTTAAACCTAAGATTTCATGTTTATTGTTTAAAAAAGTTATCTGCAGGTGACAAATACAGGATTAGAACAGGAGATAGGAATTAATCTTATGTCAAAAACTTTACCCTGGTGCAGAGGGGATTTTTACCTTTTATAAAAAAATCTGTTATCAAATTTCTCACAAAAAGACATAATTTGGAAATTAATTTTACAAAATTCAAAACTTTTAGCTTTTCCTAATAAAGATTTATAATTTTTATATTCCTATTGATCTAAATTATATCTTAATATATATTTTTTCGTCTTTTTATGATACTTTTTATTTTAAAATTATTTTAGTTTTGAATTTAAAAAGTTATATTTTCTTCAAATCGCTCAAAGATTTCGACAGTTCTATAGTAGGGTTCTATAGTTGAAACGAAAAGTCGACTTTTCGACCTTTTTCATTTAGTTAAAAGTCGACTTTTCGACTTCTCGACTTTTTGCATTTTATGAAATGTCGATTTTTCGACGTTTTTCATTTAATTAAAAGTCGACTTTTAGACTTTTCGACTATAAGTATTTTATAAATAGTCGACTTTTCGACTTTTTCCGACTTTTCGAGTTTTTTGACTTTTTGACTATTTTCGACTTCTTTCGAGTTTTTTCTACTATTTTTTGACCTTTTTCGAGTTTTTCCGACTATATTAGAGTTTTTTACTTTTTTTCCACTTTTTTAAGATTTTCGACTATTTTTGACATGTTTCTACAATTTTCGAGTTTTCGACTTTTCGACTTTTTCCGACTTTTCGACTTTTTTCGACTTTTTTCGACTTTTTTCGACTTTTTCGACTTTTTTCGACTTTTTTCGACTTTTTACGACTTTTCGACTTTTTTCGACTTTTTTCGACTTTATTCGACTTTCTGACTTTTCGACTTTTTTCGATTTTTATTAACAAAGTCGACTTTTCGACTTTTTTCACAGACCATAGTCGAGTCGACTATTTTGTTCCATTATTGTTCGATTATTCGAAAGTCGATTTATAGAACCCTATTCTATAGATCTCTTATAGCATTTCATATAATTTTAATATAAGCACCTAAAACTATGAATAGTTTCCTTGCACGATAACACAGGCCAGCAATATTTGAAAAAAGTCTAAACCCAAAGATCTAAATATACTTTTCTAAAGGATTGAGACGCGCTAGAATTTATCTATCACATCAGCTTTTTCTGATATCGTGTCATGAAATTTGAAAAAACCCGAGCAGTGCGATGATAGCTTTATTTATAAAATCTGTTACGTCATCTGAAGTTCAATTTGTCAACTTTAATATAAAGGTTTAACCACTGTTTCTCTTCTTTCTTCGAGATGTCTTAACTTAACTTTTGAAATCACTAAATTATTAGAGTAAAAATAACTATATAGTTCAAAAGCTATGAATATTTGCTTAGGGCGGGCTTCTTACTACTCAGTTAAATGTAGCTTAACCAGCTGTTAGATTAAACTCGTAACAAATTTAGGCGAATTTCAACCGTTAATTTGGTATTTCAATAATGAATTTAAGATCAGTTAACTTAGTTAGTATTGCCAACTTTTCAGTCAAAAACATAAACAATAAACAGCTGTTTTTGCAAACATTACTCTTGTAAAATGAAAAATTTAAGAAAAAAATCTAAATAAACATTTAAAACAATAGTAATATTGATAAAGCAAATCAACAAATTTTTTCTTCTTCCGAATTGTTTATTTTATTATTTTTGTTGATTGTGTTTACTTAATTATAACTAAGATTTTATTGGCCAATAACACTCAGTTAAACTAAGATAATAAGGGCGGGTTTCTTACTACTGATTTAAACTAGGCTTAACTTGCTGTTAGATTAAACTCGGAACAAATTTAGGCGGACTTTAACCGATGATTGTGTTTTTCAGTTATGGATTTAAATTCAGTTAACTTTGTTAGTATTGCCAACTTTTCACTCAAAAACATAAACAATGAACAGCTGTTTTTTGCAAATAATACATTTGTAAAATGAAAAATTTTGGAAAAATGTTAAATAAACATTTAAAACAATAATAAATAAAACAAAACAAATCAGAAAATTGCAATTTACTTAAAATATTAAGTTTTTGTTCTTCCGAAATCATTGTTTTATTGTTTTTGTTAATTGTGTCTTCTCACTTATAACTTAAGTTTAATTGGCCAATAACACTCAGTTAAACTAAGATAATAAGTAACGTTACTGTTTACTGAATAACACAAAACATATATTAAACTATTAGTGAAAAACACAAAATTAAGATTAAACTAAGTTTAAACAAAGAATGTAAAATATATTTATCAGAAAAATCCGCCCTAATAAATCAGTTTCAAAATTTTTTTAATCTTTTAAGTTTTCAAAAGATATCAGTTCGATATAAAAGCCCTAACTAACTTTTTAGAATTCCAAAACCAAAAAACAAAGTTTTGAGGCTTTATCTGATAAATTTAAATCAAATATTATATTAGTTTAACATTACATACATGTCACCTGTCAGATTCCATGATGTAGGATGTCATTTATATTAAACAAAAAGAAAAACATTTTTTTATTCAAATGATTACAAAAATGTAACGGATGTTAATGTATATATAAAAAAAAGAAACTATTGTAAATAGGACTAAATACTCCCACATATGTAAGTGTAGGAAAAAATACAACAACAATACCTATTGCTGTTGTTGTTGCCATCATTGGCATTATTATTTTGTCGTATTCATTCATAAAAACCACCCACAACTACTATTGTCATACATAAAGCCCCGAATAAGGACTTCAACAGGTAAGTATGAAAATAATACATACGTACATAGAAAATGTAAAATATAATACACATGACCTCAATATTCTATAGAAAATTTTATGAATACTTTGTTTTCATCTCTGTACTACTAAAAATATGTTTATTTATTTGGATATGTAATATATGTTTTAAATGTAATTATTGTTGCTGTTTGTTAAATGTAAAATGGGTAAAAATGGTAACGGAATGTATTTAGTTATTGTTTTATGTTTGTTTCTTTTAAGTTAAACATGTGTAATTGTTTGTAGTAAAATTAGTTTATTGTTTGTTTTATAAAATAAAAAATTATGTTAACTGCACCAAAAAATTGAAATTTTCCTTTACTAAAACTAAAAACTAATAAGAATTTATTTTGCAAAATTTTTAAGGGTTTTGGTGTAAATTTGAAAAATTAATTATTTAATTAAAATCTGTAGCAAATGTTTTTAATTATTTTTAATTTTTTCTATTTAATTTATTCTAAATAGGTTATCAACATTTATATAAACCTAACGATGAAGTGGATTCTTATTATGAGACTCTTAGTCAAAAGCCTTTGGATAATACGGGCTTTCAGCGTAATACAGCAGTTTATTGGACTTTGCAAAATCGTAGGCCTGTTAAGCCACAACCCCAATCGGCCACAAGTCGTGATGATTTGTATGCTACACCCATTAAAAGGTCCGAAAGATTGGCTCGTGCTCAACAGCAGCAGCAACAGTTGCCACAACATCAGCAGCAGCCAGAAAACCAACAGCCGCAGCAGTATGTCATGATTAATAAAGCTAATTCTGCTAGTTCTCTCAATACCACATCAAGTCTCTCGCCGGTGGTTCAGCGTAATCGTTCGACATTTTTATGTTCTACTCCTTTGAGAGCGGGTGGCAATAGTGATTCTCAATTACCGGCTGATAATATACCAGCCAAACAGCCCACTTCACGTTTACGCAATTGGGATGATAATTCTCCCGAACGTTTGAATACTTGTGCCGATCGCATTGGCCAAAGCAAGACCAGTCTAATGGACTTTAAAAAATTACTATTGGCCAAATCGGTTAAGACTAGCACTGTGCCCAAGAAAATATCTGCCGTAGAATTGTTAAAGAAATCCAACAGCGGCCTGCAGTCACCTACTAAAACGACCGCTAATAATGCCACAAGCAGCAATACAAACGGCTCAACGGCTGCACAGCAATTAAATTCTAGCATGAAATTATTAGATTTAAGTGGTTCGCCAAAAACATTTGCCAATCGTAGAATGCTAAGACAAGGACAATTTGGTTCTCCTTCCAAGACATTTGTGCCCAAAATGAAATCATCACCAGCCAACAATTGGCGCTCAAATTCTGTGCAACGTACCGACATAATGTCCACCACCATACCAGAGGCCAATAGTGAAGAAGATCACAATTCAGCCAATTCTTCTCTTAACTCTTCCACAAATTCTTCCACACCTTCTTCTCATCCCGATAAAAATGCTTCCCATGAAAGTCTCGTTGATACGGAGAGTTTAAATTTGAAACGCAACATTTTCTTGCAAACCGAAGAGAATAATTTTATGCGCGGTGAATTGAGATCAAGTTTTTCCGCACGCAACAAAGCCGACAGCAATAAATACGTCACCGGGCCCTTGTCACCCTTGCGCAGTACAGCCCAAGTTTCACCCATATTAACAACAGGCTCGGCCTCTAACTCAACTACAAATACTGCTACTGCAGCCGCAGCGCTGCCAACAGCAGCTGTAGCTGCTTCTATAACAAATATGCCAGCTTTAGAAACCGCATTATAAATCACTCTTGATTCGTTCGAAATAAATTCGAAATCTCTCTAGTAAACAGCCAGTAAACATTTATAGCATTTATATTAAAAACAAAAATCAATAATTGAAACAAAAATTCTATTACGGTAAAACAGCAATTTGAAAATTAAGACAAAAATTATAAATTATAGCAAAACAATCAAATTATATACACAAAACTATAATTAAACAAAAAAAAAAAACTAGTTAGCTTTTTTCGCTTTTAATTAAATATTTTTGTTTTTTAATTAAAAAAAAAAAACTATTAAAAAAAAAAAATATATAGAAAAACAGTTTATGGGGAAAAGCTATAAGAAAAAGATGATAAATTTTGTAAAATTTAAACATAATTTTATTTTTGAAAAATATGTATTTCGAAAATAAAATTGTTTGCTTTTTAAATGTTTGTAATCTCTTAATAGTGGCACTTTGTAACAGATCAGATCATTTCAATTTTAAGTTGTATTTTTAAAATATTTTAATGAAATATTTCTTAAAAGTTTTTTAAAATCAATTTTTTTTAATTAAATTTTAAAATAGAGAGATTTTAACAAAACATTTGTTAAAAATCTTTAATAGAACCAAGTAAAATTTTCTGTCAATTAAACAAATATAAATTGACAATATTTTTTAAACAAAATTTTTTGCAAATTTATCCTCTTTTGGTCCCCCCTGGCAATTAAAATCAACAAAATGTTAGATATTCCTTATTAGGAAACCATTTTTTTTAATACAAATATCATAATCATAGCTTATTTTAATATTATACATAAAAAATATTGTTTAAAAAATTAAATTATTATAAGTTGTACATTTGTTTAAGTATTTTTTTCGCAACTATTTTTAAAATCAATTAATTATGAGGCCTATTTATTGCATTATTTACTAAGTTTGAGTTTTTTTTCTGTAAATTATCTTTATTTTTCTTAAAATTAACAACAAAGTCTTTATAGTTGTTTCGAAATTAAAATATTTAATTTACTTTTACTTACACTTACATTTTACTATATAATCAGTATAAACAATTTGTTCAAAAACTATTCAGATACACAATAATTTAATTTTATTTTCAGCTATTATTTATTTGTTTAATTTAAACTTATATTTGTTTAATGTTTCTTCTTTTTTCTTTATTAATTTTCAAATAGTTTTTTTTTTATTAATTAATAATATTGTTTTAAGGATTTAACATAAAAGTAATAAGCATTTAAAAGCAAAACAAACAAGCAAAACGAGAAGCAAATAAACGAAATAAATAAAAATAAAATAAACAAAATCATGTTGTTTTAATTCAATAAAAAAATCTTTAATTTTTAATAAATTTAACATTACATACTTTCCTTCAAATTTAAATTTTAGCATTTTTCTTTCATTAGCGATTTTTAGCCTTCACGGCAACAATGACTGCAAATGTGGGGATTTGTTCCCAAATTGGGGATTTCATGTTTTTTTGGGGATAAATTTTCGTGGGAGAGATTTGAGGATTTTCGAAAAATTTGGGAATTTATTATAGTTTTTTCGCTAATATTGGGGCAAAACCAACAGCCCAAAATATGCTTATGATAACCGATACATTAAATTTAAAATTGATTACCTCCTCAAAGTATACTTTAAAATTTAAAATAATGTAAAACAGTGTTGGTAAACACAACTGCAACAATAACAGCTATTTTTGGGAGTTTTCTTAAAGGCAAAACAAGTAATAAACACACAAAAAAATAATTACAAATTAAATTATTTTTAATATTGGTTTATAAACTAAATAAAATTTTATTTAAAAACTACATACATAAAAAGAAGAAGTTTAAAAACTATATAGAGATGACACCACCAGTTGACAAATAACATTAAGTGATTCAAAACGATTTTTTCAATTATTTTGAAGTAGTTGTAAGAAACTGATCAGTTTCGAATTGGTAAACTAACGTAACCAACACTTTGCAGCATGTTACATTATTGATCCGGTGAATTCACCATCGATATAGAAAGCATAATTAACTTAATACAATACGGGAATGATTGATACGAGTTACAATGAAAAAAAAAAAAACATATTACATCCAATTCCTTCCAACACTACCCGAACGACGTTTCGAGGATTTGTCAACGACATTATCTTTACGGCCCATTACTGGAGAACCTCCACTGCCAATGTTACGTATAAGCATTTTTAAACCTCTTGATTGAGCATCACTAGCCTGCGATACGCTATTCACTTCAGTGGCAATTATACAAAAATCATCGACCACATGACCCGGAGGACTAATATCAAATGGCAAAATATCACTTAAACTCTGTTGAGGACGACACGAGGAACGACGTTTAGCAGCAGCATGATCACCCATAGCAACGCCTGAAATCGTATTCAAATTTTGAGAACTTACTGAGGCCGATAGCTGTTGCTGTTGTTGCAGAGTTTGCTGAAGTCGTGACTTAAGCAAGGCATTCTCTTCTTGTAAACGTCTTATAAGAGCAGCTTCCTGTTCCACTCTAACGAAAGTGGGTTGCGGCAAACACTGATAGATGGTGGCCAGGAAATTGCGTAAAGACAATTGTAAAGTGTCTTGCCACTGTTTGCTAAAGTATAAAGAAAAAGTGGGCGATTCTTCAGCATTACGACAGAAAGGGAAATCTATAAAAGTAAACAATTATTTTATCAGCAAAAATTAAAATATTAATAACATCAAACAAACTTACAAAACCAGTCTTTCCATTCGCTTTGTTGCTGTAATTCTCCCGCCAATTTTGTAAAGAATTCGGATATTTTGTCGGTTTTATTATGGTTATAGGCCGTGACCAAGTAAAGTTTTAATAAGCTATTCTCCAACTTTTTAACGGCTACAATAAAACAAAATTAAATTAAACAACAGGATTTAGTATATTTTTTCAAGGAAATTATGAGTAATCACTAACTTTAGTTATTAGAGAAACTACAGCCATATTAAAATCTATTATTAAATGAAATTAGGCTAATATAGATTTTAGCTGTTTTCGCTATTTCGCTAAAAACTTCACAGAAAGATTTTAAGTAATTTCTCAATTGGATCGTAATTAAAGAAACTAAATCCAATTTTAGGTTTTTCCCCAGTTTTTAAAGTAAATTGTGAGTGAACCCAAATTGTAACAATTTTCTCAATTGTAGCGATATTTACGGCAAATTTTATGTACATTTTGGATGGAAAATATGAGTGACCATAGATTTTAGCAATTTCCTCCATAAAAATATAATTTGTTTTAAGCTGAGATTTCTAAACTTAGGGAAAGTTGAATATTGATGTGTTATATATAAAGGTTTTTATTGAAGTGAAAATTTTTGAAAAGTATACAATTCATAAAATACAATAGTTGCGTTTTGTTGCTAACGTTCAAAGGCAATTTCATATAAATTTAAAATTTATAAACGTTAGGAGTTAACGTGTAAAATTATACAAGTTAATTTTAACGTCGATAAAAGTGCTACCAATTCAAAAATAAAAATACAAATATTAATGTGTTTATGTCAAACAATAAAAAAATATTTTAAAATAAAATTTAAATCAAAAAAAATATCAAATAAAAAAACCTTTTTTAAGAAAATGTAAATAATTTCAAGATTTAGTAGATTTCTTCTGTTGAGTGATGCCAAGTCAGGTAATGTTCGTTTTGTTGCTAACTTTAAGCGTTAAGACTCATTGATAGCAACAAAACACAACTAATATTCGAACTGTTTACTACAAAAATTATCATACAAAGTATTTACAGTAAATACAAATAACATTATATTCAACACCTCCCCTTAATGTTACAATTGTATTATACAAAAACAATATTAAAAGAAGTTTGCATACTAGTCTTTAACAAAATCAGAAAACAATATTTAAACATTTTCGAAAATTTTCAAAAACAGGCTTTGAAAGGGGTTTAGTAAAAATATCTGCTAATTGTTCTTTTGAATTAACAAAACACAGCTCAAATTCATGTTCAGAAAATTTTTCTCGTATAAAGTGATATCTCACATCAATATGTTTCGTCCTTTTATGGTATTCAGGATTCTTGATAAGTTTAATTGTGCTTTGATTATCCAAATATAAAACATTTTCTTCAATGTTGTATGCAATTTCTTTCAAAAAGCGTTTTGTCCACACGATGTCTTTTACAGCTTCACATGCAGCAATATATTCTGCTTCAGTGGTTGATAGTGCAACTGTTCGTTGTTGTTGAGATTTCCATGTAACTGTACACTCACCCAACTGTGTTATAATTCCAGAAGTTGATTTACGATTTTCAATATCACCAGCATAATCAGAATCAGAAAAAGTTTTCAATATACATCCTTTTTGCTTTGTGTAGAGCAAGCCATGGTTGATTGTTCCTTTAATATATCGAATAACTCTTTTTGCAGCATTTATATGAACTTGACATGGCTTCTCCATACATCTGCTCAATACACAAACTGCATATGAAATATCCGGTCTACTTATTATTGATAAGTAAATTAATGAACCAACCAATTCTTTATAGGGAAACTGTTCATTTGATTTTCCATCTGTAATATGATGGTTTATCCATCCTGGTTCCAAAGGCGTAGATACCGAATTACAATCTTGCATCGAAAATCTCTTAATAATCTTCTCCATGTACTGTCGTTGGTTAAGAAATATAGATGAATTTGTTATTTTAATTTGAAAACCAAGAAATTTATTTATTTGACATTCTTTCATTTCGAAGTTCTCACTTAGGGCGGGTTTCTTACTACTCAGTTAAACTAGGCTTAACTTGCTGTTAGATTAAACTCGGAACAAATTTAGGCGGACTTTAATCGATGATTGTGTTTTTCAGTTATGGATTTATGTTCAGTTAACTTTGTTAGTATTGCCAACTTTTCACTCAAAAACGTAAACAATGAAAAGCTGTTTTTTGCAAATAATACTTTTGTAAAATGAAAAATTTTGGAAAATTGTTAAATAAACATTTAAAACAATAATAAATAAAACAAAACAAATCAGAATATTGCAATTTACTTAAAATAATAAGTTTTTGTTCTTCCGAAATCATTGTTTTATTGTTTTTGTTAATTGTGTCTTCTCACTTATAACTTAAGTTTAATTGGCCAAAAACACTCAGTTAAACTAAGATAATAAGTAACGTTACTGTTTACTGAAAAACACAAAACATATATTAAACTAGGTTTAAACAAAGAATGTAGATTATCTTTATCTGAAAAACCCGCCCTAAGTAGATCATTAGCTAGTTTGACATCATTATAAATTAACAACCCATCATCTACGTATATTGCCAATATAATTTTTGAACCTTTTACATTCTTGATAAAGACACATGTATCAGATTTACTAATTTTCATATTAAATTTGTCCAGAATTTCACAAAATTTTTTATTAAAACATCTTGGAGCTTGCTTTAATCCATAAAGACTTTTCTTCAGCAAGCAAACATTTTGTAGTTCTTTAATAAATCCAGGGGGTTGACTCATATAAATTTCTTCATTTAAATCACCGTACAGAAAAGCAGTCTTTATATCAAATTGTTTTAACGACATTCCTTCAGATACTGCTACTGCTAGCATAAGACGAACAGAGTCATACTTTACCACAGGACTAAAAGTTTCTTCGTAGTCGAGACCATGTTCTTGGGTAAAACCTCTAGCTACTAAGCGAGCTTTGTATCGTTCAATTGTGTTATCAGCTTTGTATTTGATTTTATATACCCAACGACAATCTACTAATTTTCTTCCTTTAGGTAATGTGCAAAGTTTCCATGTCTTATTTTTCATTAGCGCGTCATATTCTTCTTTCATAGCTAGTTTCCATTTTTCTGAATTTCTAGTTTTTATAGCTTCTTCATATGTAATTGGTTCTAAAAAGTCCTCCTCCATTACAGAAAGAAACATCTCATCAATGTTAATTTTATTTTTTGGATTGGGCCTCAAATTATATTTTGTATTTGTTCTTCTGGTATTAGCACTTCCATTTTCAAAATTTACTAGTTGAACGCTTGGATTTTCAGACTGAGATGAAATTGAAACAACTTCTTGGATATTTTCAACATCTTGAATACATTCATCGACTTGTACAACATTTATATTATTAGGTTCAAAACTTACAATTTCTTGACAGTTTTCATGATTAATTTCTTCTTCCTCTAAAGTAAAAATAAAATAGAAATATATAGAGACTTAATTTTTTGTGATGAACTTGAAGTAGTAATTAATAATAACAACAGTGACGACAATCATAGCATTTGTCATTTCCAAATCACGATTCAAACGTGATTGTTCTAAAATGAGGCGATTAGTTAAATTTGCAATATTCCTTTTATTTTCTTCAGTAGATTCCCAAGCAGTAACAAAATGATTATATGTTGACGGTAACGTCATTAAAATCTTTGTAATAATCATATTTTCTGTGAACGGTTCACCTAAATTTCTTAATCGTTCAGCAAGTTCCTCTATTTTGGCAATATGCATTTCAATAGTGTCTTCTGAATTCTTTTTGAATTCATAGAATTGTTGTTGCAACAAATGAATGCTTACTTCAGTCTGCATTTCATGTACACTATGCAATTTTTGCCACATTTCACAAGCTTCTTTACAACACATCAAGTATTTCATAATAACGTTATCAATTGAGGTAATAATTATTCTTTGAGCTTTGATATCAGCTTTCTCCCAAATTTGTAGATTTTGAAGATATAATGCATTATTTGCATCGCCACCGCCATCTGGCATAACTGGCTTTCTGTAGGAACCATCAACAATTTTGTAAAGGTCCATGGATTTTAAAATAATACGCATCTGGAACTTCCATGAACACCAATTCACAGCTCCGCGTAATTTTTCAATTTTAAATTTTTCCATAATTAGCCCTTACCTTTTACTACTAACCCCTTTCAAAAATTCTAGATTATAACACTAATCTATATTTTTTAAAATTTTATTTAATATTCAAGAATCCTTTTCGGCTCTTACAACACCAGCTTTTATTTTATTTTCTCTTCTAGGCGTCTTGAAATATTTATTTGCAATTTATCCTTTCTAGGCGACTTGAAAATATTGAGAAACTTACTGATAATCCAGGCGTCTTGTGAAAAACTATTTCCTTTTTGATAACTTTCTTTCTAGGCGTCTTGAAATCTTTATTATTTCCTTCTAGGCCTCTTGCTATTCTTCCTCTATTTTTGTAAATTTGTACAAATATTTCTTTATATTTATTCCATAAATTATATTATGCCCTTAGCGAGAGTGTCCTGGGCCCATAACCAGTTGAATATTGATATGTTATATATAAAGGTTTTTATTGAAGTGAAAATTTTTGAAAAGTATACAATTCATAAAATACAATATTCGAACTGTTTACTACAAAAATTATCATACAAAGTATTTACAGTAAATACAAATAACATTATATTCAACAGGGAACCACTCAAATAAACTACAAATGTTTTCTTGTTCTTCTTACCCATAGCATAAGTATGTTCTAGTTTACTAAACAAATGTGTATCCAAATGTTTCCATAAGGTCAATAACGCCTGCAAATCGTGCATTTGTATATGCTGATTAAATTGTTCCATTATTTTTTCGGCCCGAAAAGATTGATCCTTTTCATTTCTTTGTTCATGGTCTAAGGCTTTTATAGTATTTGAAAATCCACGAAATACCAAATATTCATGGAGTAATTTATCTAAAAATGTTACTTGTGCCATTGTAATTGCAATGTTTTTATGGGAATATATATAAAATCCAGCAATTATTCTTAAAAACTGCGATATTAATATACACAAAAAAAAAAAACTGACAACAAATACAGCTGATAAAAAAACAATGTCAGTGGTGGCAATATATCGATTAATTTAGTGGTGAAATTTTTCCTTAAGTCAATTTTACACTGAAAAAAACTATTGAGACATTCATGTAACATTTTTGTGTGCAGCAATGTTTCTTGTTTTAATGTTTAAAATATGGAATCGAAAATATAGTATGGAATTTACTTTAAATATTGACAAATTTAGTAAAAAAATTTTATAAATATTTTCGAAAATTACCTGTTTTAGTTTTCATGGTGAAAATAAACTAACTTACCACATTTTCTTTTTTGTTGTCGTCTCTCTGTTTGACATTTTATCTACTTGTTGGTAGGGTTCTATAGTTGAAACGAAAAGTCGACTTTTCGACTTTTCGACTTTTTGCATTTAGTTAAAAGTCGACTTTTCGACCTTTCGACTTTTTCCATTTTATGAAAAGTCGATTTTTCGACTTTTCGACCTTTTTCATTTATTTAAAAGTCGACTTTTAGACTTTTCGACTTTTAGTATTTTATAAATGGTCGACTTTTCGACCTTTCGACTTTTTCCGACTTTTCGACTTTTTTCGACTTTTCGACTTTTTCCGACTTTTTTCGACTTTTCGACTTTTTCCGACTTTTTTCGACTTTTCGACTTTTTTCGACTTTTCGACTTTTTTCGACTTTTTGCGACTTATTTCGACTTTTCGACTTTTGCCGACTTTTCGACTTTTCGATTTTTTACGACTTTTTGACTATTTTCGACTTATTTCGACTTTTTTTCGACTTTTTTCGACTATTTTTTTACTTTTTTCGAGTTTTTCCGACTATTTTAGAGTTTTTGACCTCTTTTCCACTTTTTTAAAATTTTCGACTATTTTCGACTTTTTTCGACTTTTCGACTTTTTCCGACTTTTCGATTTTTTCCGACTTTTCGACTTTTTCCGACTTTTCGACTTTTTTCGACTTTTCGACTTTTTTCGACTTTCTTCGACTTTTTTCGACTTATCGACTTTTTTCGACTTTTCGACTTTTTTCGACTTTTCGACTTTTTTCGACTTTCCGACTTTTCGACTTTTTTCGACTTTTATTTACAAAGTCGACTTTTCGACTTTTTTCATAGACGATAGTCGAGTTATCGACTTTTTTGGAACAAAATAGTCGACTTCGACTTTTCGACTTTTTTCGACAAAAAGTCGATTGTTCGATTATTCGAAAGTCGATTTATAGAACCCTACTTGTTGGTGTAACCACTTCGTGGTGGTTTGACTAATTTCTGTTTTTGTCGTGTGGAATTTTAACTTTTTAGGAAAGTGTACAAAATAAACAAAAAATAATAATAAATTAAAGAAGTTTTCCAAATATAATTGTGTGCGTAATTTGCAAATTACTAAAAACTAAAGAAACACATCAAAAAAACATAAATGCAGTTGATGGCGTTTTGTTTAAAATATGAATCGAAAGGGAACGCGAGAACAAAATGATATTTCGATAATCATCGGGAATTTGCCAAAACGACTACAGGAAAAAATCATCACGCGCGAAGGGAACAACAATAGCAGCATTAACGGCGGAAGCAGCATAAATAACGCTGTGAGTGGCGGTACCACGGGTAATGTTAATATTGGAAGTGTTAGTCGAAGGCAGGAGGAGGTGGCAAAACTGGCAATATGCAAGCCACCAGAGAGCGTTACAGCAACTTCCAACTCTAATGGCAATGAGGTAACTTCCATTGATTACTTTTTACGTATGTCCGCCAAAAGCAGAGATGTTGAAGAGAAAGTGGAGGTCGTTAAACCCGTTTTGGAAGCCAGCGGGTCAATAACGCAGCCAATCATGTCAGGGGAAAAGCAAACAAATGTAGCTATACCAGGACTTATACGTCTCAATGCTGAGGATGCTAAAAAATTGAATGAATGCAGTCAGGATTCAAGAAATGGTTTGCGTAACCATGACAGACGTAATCGCCATCAGACCAGACAAGAAATACTATCATCTAGATATGAACTACCAATGTCTCCTGTTAGACAGGTGCAAAAACTCAACCATCCCATGTGGTTTAATGCGTTAGTTGATGATGCGAATGCAAAACGTTTGCCGCAACTCTTCGAATGTCTACAGAATACTATGAGTCATAATCTAGTAATAGAGGTAATGCACATAAATATATGATTATTTTTAGAGAATGTTCTACAATCCTTTAAAGTATTTGAAAAAAGTTTTTAATTATAATATTTTTTATCCTAGAACTGGTCCAATGTACACACCATACGACAAGAACTTCAGGATATTTTTAAAAATCTATTGCTAAACAATCTTAAATTTTGTTGTGAACAAAAAGTTGATTCATTCTTTTGGAAAATACTTTTCTATAATATGAGAGAACATTTAAAACAACAGCAGAATGCAGCCAATGCCATAAACTACATACAAAAGATCATAACTGAGGGTATAGAATTCTATGAAGATATTTATCAACAAATCTTTGAGAAGTATTTAACAAAAGACCCAAAACAAGAAACATCAATTAAAAATCAACAGCGATCACAGCATAAATTGGACCTAATGGCCAGAGTAACCGCACAAAAGTTATTGATTTATTTGGGCGACTTGTGGCGCTATAAAATCAAAGACTTACAGGGTCAAGATTACGAAGAGGCGGCTAAATATTATAAACAGGCCCAAGCTTTAGTGCCATCCAATGGAGTGCCATACAATCAATTGGCTATAGTAGCAATACATAATGTAAGTTTATTTTGAATTTTAAATAAAAAAATCCTAATTATTGGGAGTTTTCCTTTAAAGCGTAAAAAACTTGATGCCATTTATTATCATATGCGTAGTTTAATGTCTTCCAATGCCATACCCTCGGCCAAAGAAAGTCTTTTGGTGTTATTTGATGAAATACGTAAAAAGGTTGTATATTAAAATTATTTTCAAACTTGTATTTTATTTACATCTGTATTTGTTTTTGTTATCTATTAGTATGAAGAAACTGAATTGAAATCCTCCCCTCTACACTACAATTACAATAACAATCATCAGTCTTCAAAATCTATGCGTAAAGAGGTATGGATTTATCCAGACGGTGTGCGTCGTTTACATCGCACTGACCTTAATGGCAATAATAATTATAAAATGATTATAAATGAAGAGAAACGTTTTAGGGAAATGACAGCAGAAGAGGTAATTATTGAAAAATTATTTGATTTATACTATGATTAATGCTAATATATTTTGTATGATTTAAGCTTTTGAGACGCATTACTTCTTTATATCTATATATAATTGGCAAACTTTTTACCGGAGTTGGGTAAGTTTTTATAATATGAAAATATTAAATTTTTATTAATTTAAAATCTAAAATTTTAGTATGGAAACTATACTAGAACATCAACGTAAACTATTGTTACAATTAAGTGTTTTATTGGAATATGAACCCTTGGCCATTACCAGAAACAGATTAATGAAAATTTTGGCTTTGAATATATTTGCTATAGAACACAATCTAGATAAAGGTAAATCTTAACAGCGGTAATAGAAAACTTATCTTAAGAAATTTGATGATTTTTACAGACACTCGACGTTATCATGCATTTAATTTTTGCAATCAAATTTTTGGTTTAATACTACGTAAATCTCATGAACTTTTACATACATTAAACACCAACCCTGAAGAATTTCAAAATGAACAGTAAGTCTTTTATTTACGACATTAAGTTTTCAATTAAATTAAATTTTGAATTAAAATATTAGCTTTTTGGACTTGAATACCACCTTGCAATATAATCGAATTTATGTATTGTGGCTTAAGCAGCATATCAACATATGGGAACCCATTAAGAATGAAGAGTATGTATAATATTTATAAGAAATAACTTTAGAATTTTATATAATTTTTTTAATATTTACAGTCATATTTTCATTAATTCCTGGCTAGAGCTGGAAAAACTTTTTAACATTTTGCAACAAGAAAACCTATTTAATGTAACACATCACAACAACATTATATTTGAAGAAGATATATTTTTTATGGGTTTCACACCATTAGCTTCAATAATACCCAAAACAAACAGAGATTCAAGTTCAGAAGAAAGTTTACAATTAAAAGGCCGTCTTAAAGTTCTGTTCGATTTTCAAACAACTTATGTTGAAAATCAAAAACGTTTGGAAAATCTTGCAACATCTCATTTTATTAATGAAGATTTAAATTCGGATATTAAACAGGCTCTAGATGATTTACAAAGTGAACAGTCTACTAAAGCAGAAGATGATGGTGATGATGAAAATGATGATAGTGACGAGGTTAATGAGGACAATATCAGGGAAGCTATTGTGGCCAATGAAGATATTGAGAAATCTTTTAAAAACAAATCCTTAAAGATGTGTGTAACTACAAAACAGGAGGATAATCAATTGTCGCACCTTTCTAAGCTCAAAAGGGAATTGGAAGCTAAAACTCACGTTAAGAAAATGTATCACAATAAATTGGAGGTAAGATTAAAAGTTCAAAATTTTGGTAATGGTTTTGATCTTCTTTAGAAATAAAATTTCAAAGGAAATAAAAAATATTTTTTACAAAATATGAACCGCAGTTTTTATAGAAAATTAAGAATATTTTCAAATCACTAATATTATGTTTAAAATTTTTTTTCTAGGAAATTCTTAAATTTGTTGATACCAAAGTCTATATAGAAGTGCGACCTAAATACCTTTTACCAGATACTAACTGTTTTATTGATTGCTTGGAAGATTTTGAGCGTATTGTAAATGAATTCAAACGTTATACTCTAATTATACCACTTACCGGTAAGTCAACAAAGCAAATTATTTACTCCACCATTTATTAACACAAATTTCATTAACTATAGTGGTAAAAGAATTGGATGGTCTATCGAAAGGTGTAAAAGTGGACTCCTATGAAGAATCGTTACAAAAACAACGTATACATCACTATGATGATGTCTCCACAAGAGCCAAAAAGTCTTTGGATTTTATAAAAACCGCAAAAAGTCATGTCAAGTAGGTGTTATA